TTTTTTTTGGAAGGCGGTGCTCTGGAGTTAGTATGGAGGTTATTCGACGAAAGGGTGGTGGTTTTTGGTTTTGATTGGTCTTTTTTATTTGGTCTGGCACAAAAATGTTTCAACTTTCAAGATTCGTGTAGTGTAGGCTGGCTCTTTGCTGTGGGATAGTGTTTCGTGTAGGCTGAGTCTTTGCTGTGGCATAGTGTTTCTGCTTAGGGTTTGCCATCCAGTATGAAAGGGCATGCGGTCAGGTGTGTGTGATCACTGTGATGTGATCAAAACGGCACATGTGGTCAGGTGTGCGTGATCAGAACGGCACATCACAACTCAGCATGTTTCTCAAAAAAAAAAAAAAAAAAAAAAAAACGGATGCAGGTCGTCTTCTCTGATGCTGATCCAGTTCCGAGTCCCAGTCAAGTCAGGCAAAAAATGAGAAAGATAGAAATTCATAGAATGTAGCTTTTTCTTGCAAAAAACAAAAGAAAAAGAAAAGAAAATGAAAAAAGAGAGAAACAAAAAAGAAAGAAAGGAAAAAATTCAGCCAGTGACTCAGGGGTGTGAAAGAAAGCCAGGAAGGCTTTTCTTGTTAATTGGGCGTTGTACAAGTAGCAGAGCACCCCTGTTTATAAATCAAATTTAAAATTAAAAAAAATAATAATAATAATAATAAAATAAAAAAAACATGTTGCAGAGCACAAATGTGGTTGTCGCTTCTTTTCTTTTTTTTCGTAACAAAAATGTGTACTTTCCTGCTTTGGCAGAAAGAAGAGAATCTCATGAAAAGGAGCTCTCAAGGATTGGAGATTGGAATATAATAAATATTAAATATTAAATATATTGATATAATAAATCATATTGTAATGAACCCAGTTTGTAGGATTTTTTGTCAGATGGCGAAAATTAACAAGGTAACTCGACGCTGAACAATGTCTTCGATAATCATGAATGTGATCTCCGATACAATATCTCGTATCCAATAGACAAACAGAGGAGAGGTGGATTAGACAGATTAGAAGGTGGAAGAGATAGTAACCCACGTCGATGACCACAACGATAGTAGCCCAACAATTCCCACTCCTTCTCCGGGCTTCCCTCCACCTCCACGTCAGCAAAACAGTGTCCAATAACGAGCCTGACAGATCCTGATCACGTCAAAGTGCCACGTGGCACGGTTCTCCCCTGAAGACGCTCAGCAACGTACGGTATCGTCATCACCAGCAGGTAAGTATCCCGTCTGTCTCTCAATCATCTACAGATCCCGATCTCCCTCCTTGTCGCGTCAAACTCACCAATGAAGACTGTGTTGCAAATGCCACGTCAGCAGTGAAGACGGAGTGGCATGCGCCAAATCAGCAATGTCAAGGACAGCGTGGCTTGCGCCATGTCAGCAGAGGTTGGTGCCGAAGCAGGAAGGCGCCAGCATGCAAGCAGCCGTCTCGCGTCGTCGTCCACAGTGCCAGCGAGCAGCCAGCATCTAGCCAGCGTCAAGCCAGCGTCCACCCAACATCAAGCCAGCGTCAAGTCAGCATAGCAAGACTGAATGGTGACTCCCTGGAGGCCGGGCCTTATATAGTGTTCGACTAGGTTGACCGGCCTCAGATCTCCCGTCCACGGTGGCCTCAGATTGACTCGCAGCCGAGGGCCCGGAATCTCATACAGTTGCAGAATTCCACTTGGTCCAAATGCTGTCTTGGTACCTGCGTACAAACAAGTGTGTGTGTGTCTGACCGGCGGCTTGGGTTGGGTCCACGGTGACTTTGACTGAGGGCCGTGTACAGTTGACTTTTGGTTTGGTCAACTGGCTGGTGCAGGGCCCCTGAATCCAACATTTGGGGTCATGTCATTACTCAATGAGGCCTAGGGCCGACATCGGGCCGGCCCTTAGACAGATTATGAGGCAATACAAATGGGTTATTGCAATATCTGTTTCATGTGGCGTCCTGGAAGTATGCCATGTGGTCTAGCTCTTTTGGCTTTGGGCAGCAGTTCAGTTGTGCTGCTGCAGTCGACATGGTATGCGTGGTTTTCTCTGCTGTGTTGGCGTATGCATGTGTGCAGGTGTGTTGAAATGTGCATTCCAGGCCTCTCTCTCTCTCTCTCTCTCTCTCTCTCTCTCTCTCTCTCTCTCTCTCTCTCTCTCTCTCTCTCTCTCTCTCT